GGAATTAATTTAATTTTTTAGCACATAATCTTAGCTAAACTAGAGTCAACAGCATGGTGATCAGTAGTTTTATTTTATCGAAGGCGGAATTGTGCATGAAACTTTGAATAAGGATTACGGTTAAATTGAACGAAAACATGTTGGTTAGCAGGAAATGAAAAATAAAGTCGAAATCACAATGCGGCGGTCGCCATTGAAGGTTAACGTTGTGCATTACTTTGCTAATAATACTACTAATACTAATAATACATTAATTACAACGTCACAAGGAATGGGGGCGGTCACATGTTATGGCAACTCTCTTAAACTTACCATATTCAGATTAGCGGTCTGTCATAGTTATAAGCCAATCAGTGACATGGCCACAAACTGACCAGACACCAATAGAGAGCCGGCGCAAAGGTTACAAAGATGTGGCTGCCCCGCACGTTGCCAATTTCAAATACGGACTTTATACCCCCTGAGTCAAATCCCACAATGACACGTGATACGTGAATCCGAACTAACCGTGTTCTATGGGGGTAGTTTCTTTGTTTATTCAATGTTTTCTGTAATGCTAATTCATAATATTATAAGTATATCTCCACGGTTAATTACGAAACATATTAGTACGCGACCTTTACGTCTTGGAGATTATCGTAGGTAAAAACAAGGCTGTCCAAACGAACACTATTTCTATCAGTACCAAGTTTGGTCGACGATAAATTCTTTTTAACGTGGTTTGCTAAGACCCCCCTTCTCCCCAAGTTACATAAATAAACAGAAACTTCAACCTTCAAACCCCAAAGATAAACCATGTTCAAAGGAAATTACTCGAAGCAAAATCTGCTGTTCCCTATATTCGTGCCGCCACTGCCAATTGCTCAAAAACGTCGTACCTTCAAATTGCATTTGACAGGCGAAATAAGAATGCAAGGATACGTGTGCCGACAAAGAGGCATAAAAAGCCCGTTAGACGTGCACGTTGCCTTATTTTCAGGAACCAGGTTGTTTACGCAATGTGAGATGAAGATTCAATTACACAGTCAGTGACAATGAGGCTTGAAGCACACGAATGTGATAGCAAAAATATATATTCAAATTGCACCCGAATAAACGACATCACCTCGGTGAAAATATACCGGCATACGGGGACTGTTCAGCGAATTGATATTCTTAATAGCAACATGACGTTAATTTTTATAGCTGTTCACATGAATCATTGATATATTGAAACAGTTAAGAACTATTTCTATTTGCAAACGAATTGATATCTAGAACCCAATTTCGATGATTGTCTTCGCATTGTCCACGGCAGGATCGATATACATGGAATGGCGCACATGTTCTATTACCAGACCTTTTTCAATTACATCCGGAACGTTTGTCTCGCTTCACTACCAGAGGAATGTTTTTTGAAAGTTCTCCATGATTAAACCCCGCGGGTCTGGTCTTACGTAAGAAAATGTATACTTACGACCTCAGTATCACCCGTTTGTGGTGGCAGGTAAATGGAAACACTCGGGACAAGTTATCTGCCTTGAAGGCGTTACTAGAAGATTTCCCGGCTATTAATTGGACCTAATAAAAATAAAAACAATAGGCACTGGTTGAGCCGTCCACTTGTTGGCGCTCCAATAAGTCTTATACGTATATAGGTGTATCACCAATATATGTATTTCAATGTATTCGAAATGTACAACGCTATTGTAGATGTCTGTATTTTCGCTGTAATTTCTCTATAGTCAATAAGTATTATATCTATAAATGTTATTACGACAAGAACATTGCGAAATATTTTATATAACGAAAACAGGTATTTTCGAAAAGATTTTTCCATTCACATTATACGTAATACTGACACGTTTAACATCATTTTTTTGTAGCGCCGAAGGAACGTATTGCGCCGATTTCGCCGCAAAAGCTATATTGAGCTACACTGGCAAAATATATCATGTACCGCCTGCTATTTTCAAAAGTCCATGCTCAATAGATATTGAGTATTTTCCGTTCGATGTACAACGTTGCCTAATGAAGTTTGGAACGTGGGCTTACAGCGGGAGTCAAATAAGGTTGGAAATCATGGAGGGGCACGCCGTGAAGGAGGATTTCTGGGAGAACGAAGAATGGGAGATTATAAACGCGCCTGGCAAGAACGTTTCTATGAAGTATCCATGTTGTACTGATACCTATTATCACGTGGTATACACGATGGTTCTCCGCAGGAGGTCTCTCTTTTACGTTGTGAATTTAATCGTTCCTTGCATCGTCATGGCAATGCTGATAATGTGTGTGTTTTGCCTACCCCCGGACAGCGGCGAGAAGATCTCGCTTAGTATATCCGTGCTGCTCGCGTTAACTGTGTTTCAACTACTGATGGCGGAAATCATGCCCCCAACGTCGTCAGCGACTCCCCTAGTCGGCAAATTCTTACTGTTTACAACGATATTAGTGTCCTCGTCCATTGTTGTGACCGTCGCCGTACTGAATCTTCACCACCGCTCTGCCAGCACGCACAGGATGCGGCCATGGGTGAAGAAATTGTTCATGCAATTTCTACCGAAAATGTTAAATATGAGCTACAAAAGAAAGCCGTGCAACTTTAAGACGATACGCAGGGCGTACCACTTGCATGAGATGGCAATGGACGTGGATATGCAAATGAAGCTTATGAATTTACAGGCACCCGAGTCTGAGGTGCGCTGCACGTCCAATGGAGTCCGACATTCTAAACCGAACTCAAAGCCACGAATGCCTGGAGGTGGAGACTACGCCCTCTTACAGGAAGTTAGATACATAACACATTACATGCGAAATGAGGAGAAAACCTTACAGGTAAGGAATTTCAAACACATTTTTATAATTGCTTAATACAGTATTATGAAGGTTTTTAGATTTTCTGTTATATTTGCGTTAGATCGCTTAATGGTATATCTTTGATAAACGAGAAATTATTTTATGATACGGATTAGTCGCGGGCGCATCGTCGAGCTACGTAAAGAGAAAATAAAACATAGCTCCGTTCGTATAGAAAATTTCTAGTGGATAATGAAACAGTATATCTTGGATTATATTATGAAATGTAAACACAAAAAATTGGGATACGGTATATTGAAAACCGATTCAATCAACGATCTGTTTTTCGCCATTAGTTCCTTGAATGGAGAACGTTTTACGCGTGATTTTTTTGCGTTTATAGATGTTTTACCGACAGCACATGCACGCGCGCGTTACTTGTCACTAGTAAATAATAATAAAAACATTTCGAGCAAATTCCAGCAAAAAGTAATAGAGTAAATTACGAACGTGCGTCTTTCATTATCACCTTGAATCAACTTTGTAACTTGCTATGATCACATTAAAGAGAAATCATGCGGCGACTGATCAAACTTGATTTCTTTTTACATTTGTACAGCTAGTAACGAAAGAATCAGTCAATTTATGAACTATCATGTTAGATACTGAAATGCATTTTGCCTCAGTTTGACTAAAACGACGATTTTTTTATTGTTAATGAATATTAATGCATGCTAATGAGACGATTATATCAGCTAATCACGACACGCCATTCTCCCTGCTTAAAACGTCACGGTTGCTCGCAGTATCATGGTGGATATGAGGCCAATGTGACGTATACAATGCGTGTAACATAATTTGTTTATTTACCCAAAATTCAAACACGCATTTCTTCGTTTCTAGTAGTATTTCAATTTTCATTTTATATCTGAACTTTTGCTACAACTTATTATTACATAAAAATATATTTTTATTTGTTTTAGGCCCGTGAAGATTGGCAGTACGTGGCAGTTGTACTGGATCGTCTTTTTCTCACCATATTCATAACGTGCTCTATCGTAGGTACGTGTGCGATTATGCTACCAGGTCCGCTGAATGCAAAAATCGATGTTGAAAACGAGGAGTGGCTGCCGTGATGAAAGAAAACTGTGTAAAACAGCGTTGCTACACTGTCCCACAACTTGTCTGACGATAATTCATCTTAGTTTCAATGACCTTGACTGACAAAAATAAACTCGAGTGAAGTTGCTGCCAAATATCAGTGACACAATTGTAGTCATCATAACTACATATGAACAGAAAACAGTCTGCTTAATCAACTGGTATTTGGTCGATATGTCTTCTGAAAGAAAATACTTCATTGCTATTGGAGGAAATAATTAACAACCCTAGAACAACCCAAACCAAGATGGCTGCCTGCAGTAGGTGTAAAATAACCGGCAGTAGTTGCATCACTTTTAGTCAGTATACACGCTGTTAGATATCATGCGAGACTTGAAACTGAAATAGGTTACAACTTTAAGTATATCGTCACTGACGTGATGACTACAACGGGTCTACAAATATTGATAGTAGTGAAAGCCTTGCCGTTGTCAGGGAGGAATCTGCCTGGTATATATCCATACATATGGACACGCCTCATATATTCATAGTGCTAGGATCTAGCCTGTACTGTTTATTTAATAAACACAGATAAACTACTGTCCTTGGGTTGACTAATTTATTGCTAAAAATTAAAGTCACCTATTAACAAAACCGCTTCATTCCAAGTCACTTCATAGCACAGAATCAATTCGTACGGTCCAACTGATTACGAGTAACAATTAAAAGCGACTGCCTGCAATGGCTAAGTTACCTATTCGCTTTCTGTAAGTATGAAACTAATTTTAACCCGTGTTTCTGTTATTATTTTGTTTTTGGCAATCGTCATGTACTAGTCTCCAGTTATGACATTGATTTCTGTAGTGCATATGAGGTTATTACGAGAATACCTCAAAGTATGCACGAAGACAGTACAGCAGGAGTATCGACCGACATGCAGCTTAAACTTATTATTATACATCTTTTCCTTCCAAGGATACATCATGGGAATGCCGAAATCCAAAAGGTTTAGAACAGAATCAGCGAACTTCTTTGTGTGGAGTCCAGTCGAACACAGATGGCAGCCATGTTTGTTTTTATTATTAGAGGACACTTACGCGCGTAATCATTCTATATTTGGAATTCGCATTTCCTAATATGGTAGGATGAAAATACCCTGTACAACACCACAAAATTACGATATGCTGTAACGTATTACGTTACGGTGGCAGATGTATAATAATGGTTTTTGATGAAATGAAATCATATTCAAATGAAACAGTTTTACTTGACGTCATACTGCCTATTTTGAAAATGTTAATCAAACGTGACGAGGATATAACATGTATCATCACGTGCGAAATATGCAAAATACTTAATAAATGATTATCGCTTAAATATTATCTATGAGTGCATATGTGGTACACAGTGAACTGTGACATATGTGGTGCGAACCGACGTTGTGGCACGACGTGACCTAAGACGAAGTGGTTTTGTTAATTGAATCTATTTACAACATTTATATTCATTTAGATCATTGCAACTCCATGTTTTTAACGACTCTGTGAATGAGCCACTGGTTGATGCAAACAATATCGCTTTGTTATGGAACCTACCATAGTCGAATTGATGCTTTATACAGAAGAATGTGAGACATGTATGGTACCTAACTTGTTACCTCTTATAGTCACATATATACCTTTGTTTTATATTTGATAAGTAGACCTGATTTTGTGGGAAACTTCACGATGAAATGTATATAATTACGAGCCTTTCAACTCCCTATTTTTGTAGTTTTGAAATCTAAGTATACAGGATACGCACTGTTGTTGCAATCAAAGCACCACTAACACAATAATTCCGTATATTTGTACAAATACACTAACATATATATAATACAACATGCGGAAAACGGTGATTCGTACTCGCCACAGCAGTCAGACGTTTCCAAAGAACTCTCACTACGCCGAAAAACGCAGTTGGAATCGGCGTGCAGTCCGCCCGCAGCGACTATAAATGTTAATGCACATGTTGAATCTGGGACATCAAAAACAACATATATAGCTATGTATTCATGAGTCTTATTATTTATGTTTTTGTCACAAGAAGAGACTACCTCTAAGTTAAATTAAACAGTATGCTATATATGTCATGGTGTGCAACATCACATATAGTATAACTTGAATAAAATTGTCAGAGAGTGCGAAATTCAAAGCCGAGTATACGTTTTTTGAATGATTACAAATTACAAGAATGTAACGAAACCAGCTCATACATAGAGTGAATGGAGACAATATATCTTGTATAATCATCTGAACAGTGTTTAATTAAACCCTCTTTGTATATGGACTCAAATTATAGTATTATTTTACCACGTTTAGAAAAAAACTGTCAGCTTGAATGGAAAAACGTTATCAGTATGTATTATGGATACACTATTTAACATAATCACAACATTCGATATACCACGTATAATATACATAATAGCTTTAATTTTAGTATTTTGTTCATGCACTGAAAGTTATATTTACTTGGAGTGATCGCAATTAACACAAAAATACACAGATAACACTTTTTTAGGCAGATTATTACACTACTTCGACAACACTGTTTTTTGCTACTGTATGATTTAGAATAATTTAGTTTATATTTAGTAACACATGCTAAGATTTCTATGATATTGTCATTGTTGTTATTCTCCATGACTACAATACATAACATAACATAACATACCAACCATAAATGAAAAAAAAATAACATAAATATTATACATATGTTCTTAGATATATGCGATGCATACGCACCATGATGTGATGCAGACATGACATTACGTACTGTTCATATACGATATAATACATTATGTAAATAATGTGATGAATATGTATTATATAATTGCTTCTAAATATCCTAATAGTTCAATCACAACTAGCTTCTACGTTAGACACAGGAGTTTAATTTCGCCTCCTTTACACCATCGTTATTCACTCTCGCTGCCTTTGGCTTTCCTTCATCTTTTTTCAAAGTAGTTACACATACGTCATCTTCGTTCACGTTAGTTACCTTCACTTCACCTGCTCTGTCCGCCCTTACATCTTTGTTATAATTCGTTACTGATTTTACGAAATCTTTCTCATCTGCAACTGTCTTTATCACAACTTTTCTCTCTGTAGAAGCTTTTATACCTTCGTTCCCATCTGAAGCTGCCTTTATAACATCTTGCTCCTTTGTAGCTTCTGCCTTGACACCATCGTTCGCGTCATCAGTGGCCTTTATGCCTCGTTTCTTCACTGTATTTGTTTTTAGTCGTTTTCGTTTCTCTGCAGTCATCTTCTCGCCATATTTCTCATCTAAAACTGCTTTTATACCACATTTCGTCTCGGTAGCTGCCGTTTGGCTATATTTCTTTTCTCTAGCGTCGTTTGCGTAAACTTTTTTCCTAGCAGCTGCCTTTGAACTAACTTTCTTATCTGTGACTACTTTCACCTCATTTTTATCTTCTGCTTTTATGTAACATATATTATCTTCAACTTTCTTTTTTGTGGCTATATTTACACCACTTTCATCTGTCATAGCTGACTTTGCGGCATTTCTAATCCCTGCAATTTCCCCTTCGCAATATTTCTGCTTCATAACAGCCTTTTGTTTAATTTTCGCCTCTGTTGCTGCCTTTACCCTGTCTTCATAATCGTATAGGTTCGCAATCAAAATATTTGATTTCTCAGCGATATATGTGCGTAAACCTCTCATCATTACGTAGTCACGGGTAATGCGTTGTTGACTTCCTTCCGCCAGACATCCACCAACAAGTAGGAAACCTCCAAGCTGCGATTTCTGAAATAAGTGAAACACACAAATTATTGTACTTTTGGGACACTGTTTTATGGGCCGCCTCAGTCACAATGTATGGAAAAGATTTGACAGTAATCAAATATTGACAAATATTCATCTAATCCTAACTTTTTTGTATTCTAATTAGTAAATAAATTACTCTGATGTGCACCCCACGTTGCCGTCCAATTTGAGGCTAATTGATTACATTCTAGCACATTGGATATTGTAATAATGAAAAAATCACCCATCGCGTCCCTTTAACTCATGACGATATAATATTAGCTCAGCTCCATGCCTCGAATCAAATAAGTTAATCCGTACATGCCCTTGAATGTGTAATATTATTTGTCTGAGAATAAAAAGCAAATCAAAGATAATATACTTACGTTAACTGTGTCTAAGAGAACATTCATTGTTGAAATGTTTCCATGGCAATATTCTTCTGCATGTAATGTTGCCATAGCTCCATATATGTCACATTGAAAGCCGTTGACATCTTCCAGGTATACATTCTTCCAGTGATTGAACCTATCCACACGTTGTTTGGACATCCCTTGGCACAAATTGAAAAACGGCGACCAACACAATCGTGTTATAACAACAGATCTGTATAACTCTTTCTTAATGGCTGCTCCTGGAAGTGAACATAGTGAAAATGATTTGGAGCATGGTTTTGTTGACTCAATATCTGAACATTTTAAAGGATTGGAAAGCAGCAAAATTAATCACCAGAAACAATATTAATCCAACAACAAAGATAGAGCTGGCTTATTATGACAACTATGAATACAAAGCAATCCCAGTATTCAGTAGGGTGACTCAGATAACTAACTCAAATTGTTAAATTTCCCCAAAACGCCAATAATTTTGAAAGACACAATCTTAAACTCATATTTTCATGTTTAAAAGTACGACTTATTCATAGATGATTCGTGATTGATAACACGTGTGAGAATGAGAACATGGGAACAAATAAATGCATATATATAACTAAAAGGCACGACAAAAGTGATTTTTTCACAGCTGCTTAGTACATGTACTTTCCAAACGCTTCTGCCTCTGTGACAACCGGATCCACACTTCATCTAAAATATAACTATCATTCTTTGTCCTTGGAAGAAGAAGACTTTCATCACTTCATTGCAATCAGATAGCGGATTGGCAATGTCTTAAAGGTAATCCCTTCTAAAAAAAATGTTTAAAAATACATCCACAGTTATCTGGC